AAAAAAAAAAACTCCCTCATATGCCTGTTGTTTGTTTCTACTTTCTAGTAGGATTTACGATTTAGTTTGTTATTTATTATTTGATCTACAATAGCTGAATATATTAGTTGTTCTATTCTACAGCTGCTTGTAGTTATCTTTCATAACTCCTAAAACTTTTGAATTCATGTTTTCGTTTTAATTTAAGTACTCTGCTTGAAATTATTGATAAAACTGTTACCTCAAATTCGTGGGTCGAATTTGTTTAATGCATCTAACGATCAAAATGGTTAAAAACACATTTATTTGCTCAGGTAATTTTTTTAAAATAACGAATTAGTCTATAAACTTCTAATAGTTTAATTTTGGTAGGACTGTGTCAATATCTAACATAAATATGATGTGGGATGCCAGTTGCTTGGACATACTTTAACCAAAAAAAATAGGACAAATAAAATGCCTCCCAGTCCCCAACTTACAATCGACCATCGACGGTAAAGCTGGTCGTCGAAAATGGTCTTTATTATTTATTTACAGTGATGTTTGAATCTAAGCTAATATCCGACAAAAATGGTCTTTGGATTGCCTATTAAACAAGAAGACATGGGTGGGGAGAATTTTGTTGGAAAAAAAGAAATTGAAAAAAAAATTTTTTCCATAAAAAAAGAGTTATATTATTTATTTTCAATATTTTTTGTAGTAAATTTGAAAATTAAATCCCAACTTAAAAAGATTGTTGTTTAATAATAATATATGTAATCACCAAATATATATTTAGTTAAATCTAAATTAATATTAATTAATTAATTATTATTATTATTATACAATATTATATACTCTATAATATACTATAAATTACATGTTTTAATTTTAATAAAAATAAAAAATATATAACATTAAATAATATATTTACCAACATTTTATCTTTCTTTAATATATTTCTTTATTTTAAAATTTTAAATTCAAAATCTAAAAATATCGAAAACAAGAATAGAACAAATTACCAACTAAACATACTTTAATAATCTATGGTAACATCAACGAAAGAGAAAAAAGAAGAATGGACGAGGCCATGTCATCACCTTGATTGGCTGGCGAGAATTTGAAGATCCTTGTCGATTTGAGGGTGACGTTATCTTACAATATCTCGGAAATTTTATTTGTCTAGGTGCTTTAAGAGGTTGATTACCTTTTCTTTTCCTTTTTTTTTTCTAAATTTTCAGTGGGAGAAAAAGTATATTGAATGGGTTCCCCTTGTATTTGTCCTTAATTTTTTTTCCTTCTAAAAAAAATGTTATGGGGCCTTGTTCCCTCCTATATTCCTCTGTTTCAATATAAAAAATTATGTTTTTCAGTCCAAAATATTTAACAAACTCAAATAATTTTTTTTTAATATAATACGTGAGATTAGTGATTTAAACTCATAACAGTTTAGATAGGTCCAGAATATTTAACAAATTCAAATAATTAATTTTATAAAATACAGAACAATATTATAGTTTAGGTATATATAAGTAAACTCGAGATGGAGGGCCCAAGTCTCCGACAAAGAAATGTTTCTTCGCTCTCAACATTTTGCAGCACCAATCCTGAAGCTTGCCAATGGGCCATGGCCTCACTCATTCATTCACAACTAAAGTTTTTTAAAAAATAAATATTCGAAGCGGTTGAAAATTAATGTGTTTGACATTAAATGCAAGTGAAATGAATTTACTTGAGAAAGCCAGTTCCATTTGTGTGAAAGTGGGACAAATGTCAAAATCAAAAAAAATAAAAAAGAAAAGAAAAAAAAGGAAGAAGGGTAATAAAGGATTAGGTAGTCTACCAAAGAAAATGTTGCTTTTGTTCCTTTGGTTGAACATTGTTCAATGCTCTATGTGCTATATACCTTTTAGCATTTTCTTTGACTTTTAGAGTTCAGGTGAATCACGCATATGCTCTTATTTTACTAATTAAATGGCAATATTTTATAGCTTAAATATAAATCATGTATCTTTTATAATTATTATTGTTTTATAAAAATTGCGTAATTATGATAGGGACAATTATAACACATATTTTGTACTAAAGACATAATCATATGACTTACCTATTTTATAAATCAAACCTATTCTACGTTGATTTTACAAGATAATTATACATAGTTAACCACCTTTGAGGCGAGTTTGAGATGACTTTTGAATTGATAAAAAATACTTTTAGTCTAAAAAACATTTTTGATAGGAATACTATTTTTAGTGTTTGATTAGATAATCTAAAAGTGGTTTCGAAAATTTGAAAATCACTTAAAAAAGGGAAAAAAAAACACACAGAAGAAGCACTTGATTCGTGCTTTCAAGAGAGATATTTTTTCCCCTCAAACGTACTTTGTATTTTAACTTAAAAAGCTTTTTTTTTTTTCTTTCTTTCAAGTCATTCCACATTTACCCTATGAAAAAGAAGACTTTTGATTAGCTAAAAGTATTTTTTTTTAATTAGCATTCAAAACTCACCCTTAATACACTCATTTTAAACCAGCCATGGTTTATAGCTTTAGTGAGCTACTTTAATAAAAGAGAGTAAAAAAATTAATCAAATATTTTACTTTTAGGGACCCTAATTTAAGGTTTAAAATAATTGAAAAATGGGAGAAAAAGATCAAACCTGTTGGAGGCAAATAGAGAAAACAGCCCTCTGGAAGCGGGAGGGGGCGTTGGTGATCCCTTGGCCTTGGAATAAGTAATAAATGAAAGGTCTTCTCCTAGTTGGTGTTGGTGATAAAAGTAGAACCATTGGAGATAAAACCCAGTAGAGGGTGGGTGACCGACAGCATCAAGCTGTCATCTTTGGAGTTCACAAAATAAGAAGCAAAAAGCTACCTGCGATTGGGCAGTGAGCGAGGCAAAGTCACAGAGGGGGGAGACTGGAGAGAGCTGTAAAGGAAGCACGAAGAAAAAGTCAGCAATGCCAGCCAGCAGTATATACTCTATTCAATACAATACACACAAACCAATTTAACACAAAGACTTAGATCAACTTCTACTATTAATTATACTCTACTCTGTTCGCCAGTCAGAACATTTCCACAACAATATTTTCAGACTGACAAAATGTACGAAAAAATATCTAAAGTTATGTTTTTGTATTTTCACACCTTAGTTGTTAAATATTTAATGGTAGTTAATCAAGATAGGTTCTCACTAAGACCTAAATATTTTGCAATATTCTTTGGGCACTTTTCGAGTGAACAAACATACAGCTAACAGCGAGGTAAGAAAAGAAAGAATAAACATTATTCGATAGTGCCAATTTTGGTATGGAACATTATTTGACCAATTTGCAATATAATAAGATGCCACATGACTTTGGTTTTTACAATACACAAACTCTAGATCACAGCATAATTTGGTACGGAGTATGGAGTAATTTGTGCATACATTATTTGACCAATTTGTAATATAGTAACATGCCAAATGGCTTTGGTATTAACGTCAGAAAAACTCTAAATCACAATCCCACACACAGTATTATGAACTAATTTACCTCCATAACATTAGGTCTGATCTGATTTACTTTTAAGAGCACTAATGGAATAAATCTATTTAGTACTAAGTATAATATAAATAACTAATTAAATTAAAATTAAATATAAAGGAAGGCATATGAATCCGTTTATCTACTTCTTATATCTTTTCCTTCTACTTTTATGTCTCTGCAGTCTGCTGATTAAGTATTTGATACCACTGTTCTACTTTCTACTTTTCTCACACATTTCAATTTTATTTTCATTCTCCATAGTTTAATTTGTTTTAACTATTTTACCAAACTACCCTTCAATAGTTCTATTCACCTCTCTGTTTCAACTTTCAAGATGGAGAAGCAGAGTTTCCCTCATTGAGAGAGGGAACGGAGAATGACAAATTAATTTTGGATGCTTATAGATTGATTGTGTAGCTAGGTAGGTTAAAGAAAACTCCGGCGGTGCGACCAAAAATTTGAATTGACAAATGAAATCTGAAAAGACAACCTGTTTTAAGGATATGCAAGTTGTCAAAGTCCAAAATCCAAGCCCGATTTCTTACTTCTTATTCTTTCTAGTGTATATTATTATCAATATTGGAGCCAGCTTTAGTGGTAAATTTTCCGTCCCCCTCCAGCCCTTCTCAACTTTGACCCACTCAAAAATCAAACTTCTTCAACGGATCAGACTTTTCCACGTCCTTTGAATCTCATCTCCACTTGCTTTCCAAGAAAACCCAACTTTCTCTTTCCGTCAGCTTTTTGGTTTTGGTATTAACACACAATATTCTCCCACCAACCACAGATTCAATCTCCATTATTTCCCCCCAAATCTTAATTTTTAATCCCATAAGGTGGGAGGGGACTTGGGGGAGATTAGCTTATTAATTAATTAAATAAAAGAGATCAAATCCTAGCTTAGCTGCCCCAGCAACTTTGGATCAGCCAACTAGGATGGAGGTGTTTCCTGAGGTTTTGAGTTGTGACAGCGTGGCAGCGGCCAGCGAGGAGGATGAAAAGTTAAGAAGTCATCTAGAAAAACATATGTAAAATCGAAGATGATCATGAGACGATCAAGTTGACGATCCCAAAATAAATGAGGGAATTTCTCCAAGTGGCAGTGTGGGTGCTTTAGTGGGCAGCAAATGGGAGGAAAAGGCTGGTGACATTTTTTAAGCTGACACCCATTGCTATCTCACAACCTAACTCTTCCATTTTCTTTTCCTTTCATGTTACGAAGACATCAGATTCATCACAACTTAGACTCAAGATAAGGCTAGCACAGACAATGGGAAGACCGGTACACAAAAGGCTATCACATACACCTAGTCTTTTCATTTACAATCAAACACATCATCAAGTAATATATTGTAACACCCCAAGTCCAAGATTTGGATCCGGATTCACGAATTTGGCCATAGTTGCCCAGGCGTATCCCCTGCGACCTGGTTGCACCACCGTCTTTATTTGAACTACTTAGAAGAGAGAAGACTATCACTATAGACCAACATGAGTCCTTTCAAGCCAAGTACGCTTAACTTTGGAGGTTTTATGTCTCTACTTAGCGTCGCATATATTATGTTATTCTATTTTGGAACTCACTCTATTTCTAAATGTCGATAATATGTCAAAAAAAATGAACTGAAAATATTTCCATACGACCAATAAGGTATAAGAAGCTAGAAATGTTCCCAACTTGCAACACTAAGGTAAGACTATAGCCATGACCCATGAACTGGCTCTGGAAAACTATTGCCCTAAATGAGTCCTA